CTAACAAGAGCACGTACAGCGCAGACGAAGACAAGGGTAGAGTTTGGACGAACTTTAGAATGCTCAACCACAAAGTCCTCAACGTGCTCTTGCAGCTGCTGGACGACGGCCGTCTCACCGACTCGCACGGGCGCACGGTCGACTTTACCAACGTTGTCGTCGTTCTCACCTCGAACGTTGGCGCCGAGCATCTCTTGCCGTCGCCCGTCCAGAGTCCGTCCAAGCGCCCGCGCCTCGACACGACCGTGGTATCTCTCGACGCACAAAAGGCTCGCGTGCTGGCCGACTTGCGCCGGTACCTGCGTCCCGAGCTGCTCAACCGCCTCGATGACGTCATTGTGTTTGAGCCACTGGGCAAGGCACAGCTGCGCGATATCGTGCAGCTGCAACTGCGCTCGGCCGAGACACGGCTCCAGGACGCGCACCAAGTGTCGATGGACGTGACGACGGCCGCGCTCGACGCCATCTTGGACGTTGCGTACGACCCGCAGTATGGCGCCCGCCCGCTCAAGCGCTACATTGAAAAGCACGTGGTGACGGCGCTGAGTCGGCGGCTCTTGGACGGTTCACTGCGCGCCAAGGGCCACGTGACCTTGTCGGCCACTGATGGATCGCTCACGTTTGAGATTGACAACCCCGACGTCAACATGGCTCCGTAAACCCGATCCTCGACGCCCGCCCTTGGATCTGCGTTTCTGAATGATATATATATATGACCATGTGTTTGACGCTTGTATAAATATACGAATGAAGAATTGTCTGATTGTACATTACGTCATCATGGGCAACTCGAATGTCATCCTTTGACACAGGAACGTCCACGTCGGAAGTCCCCTACACCTACCCTTGCCCTGGAGCGAAATCGACATTTTGGCCAATCGCATGCGAGATGGCAGATCGCAAATCGCGGCATGTGCGGCACATGCCGACGAGGTCCGTCCGAGCAGCGGCAGCCAGCACGCGGTCGCTTGTGGCCGCGACCCTCGCTATCTGCGTCACGACCATAGTATGCGTCGTGTACCTCGTCACCGAAGCGCAGACGATCTTGCACGAGCTCCGGCTGGCGACAGTCCCGACCTCCTCGCTGCACGCGGTGGCGCCGCCAGGAGCAGCGCTGACGCCGCGCACCAGCCTCGGCCGAGACTTTGGCGCGCAAACCAATAGGACGCGCGTCTTGATTGTCCACGCGGGCGACGACTGGCTCGCTCAGTTTGGCCAAGAGGTGGCACGCGGCGCAGCCAGCGTCACGACCGCCGTCAGAGTGCTGCACCCTGCCAACGCGTCCATCTCGGATGTGCTCTGGGCCGACGCCGTGATCCTCGGGAGCAACGTCTACAACGCCAACGTGGACCCCGATCTCATGGCGTGGATCAACGGATGGCCGACCACGACCTGAGCGCCAAGGTCGCCGGCGCCTTTGCATTGGCCGGCGGTATGAGCTCGGCGAGGAGCTCGTGCTGCTCAACCTCCTCCACTCGCTCATGATCTTTCGATTTGTTGTCGTCGGTGGAGATGCGCGGACAAGGTACTCTCTCTCGTGGATTGCTTGCATGTCTATTGGAGTCTATGCGTAGTGCATTTGGCGCCTCGGCCATCATGGGCGAAGGACCCTTTCACCTCGGCACCAACGACAGCAGCCACCGACCGGGTGCGTGGCCGTCGATCTGCTATCACCACGACAACCACATTCCCGCGTACTTTCTCTTGAAAGCCCACGGTCTCGGACAGCGTGTCGCCAACGTCGCCACCAAGCTGCGGGCGCCACGCGAAGCATGAGAGGACAATAGCGTCTGCGAGGCTAATCGAAATACTTAATGAGTCGACCATGTCGCCTTGCCTATAGTCCCAGCAGCTACTAACGCCACCCCGGCGCCAATCTTGCAAAACGCAACCTCTCCTCACCAAACTCGGCCAACGCAGGCATCATCAAAAGAAACTCTGGTGAGGTAGTCTACGTGTGGATTGAGCAGTCGTCCAAGCCAACGACGTGCAGTGGCATCGAGACCCATACAATGGTGCTTCTACCACCGCTACGTGGACCGGAAGCCCGGCGCCATTCTTGCAAAACGCAACCTCTCCTCACCAAACTCGGCCAACGCAGGCATCATCAAAAGAAACTCTGGTGAGGTAGTCTACGTGTGGATTGAGCAGTCGTCCAAGCCAACGACGTGCAGTGGCATCGAGACCCAT